ACGAGCCGTTTTAGGTAGGTGTGGTTGACTCTTAACTTTTATAAAGAATATCTCTTTGGATTTGAGACTTTAGTCTTTGCAACTTTACAGATCTTCTTTATGCACCAAGAGCTTGTAACACTCCAAAGAGAAAGGAAAAATTGAAATCGCATCATATGACCCCTTTAACAGAATAAATGAGACCTGAAACACAAAGACACAAAGCAACAGCGTCTGATGTAATTCTGCATCCTCCATCATAAACATGTCAGTCTGAGGGGAAATAGATCACCAGACTGAGGCGCGGGTCCTCCATTAAAACTGTGACATCACCACACATTCATCACAGTCCATTAGCAGACTTACTGCACAACTGCATGTGCTCTTCATATAAGACACGTGAATCAGCAGTCAGCATGTGTCAAAACAAGCTGCATGTCTGTCTGAGGCAGTCTGCAAAGAAACAAAAAACTACAACTAACTGAAAAATAATTTAATTATCTATTAGTATAGTCTTTGCAATGTGCACAAAGAAACTTTGGTCACCTTGCAGTTGCATAAAACCTATTTCTATAAACAAAACACATGTGAAATCATCTGAGGACACAGAATGAGTCACTGCTAATGACAAATAAAGCATTCAGCACAAACTGTCCAAAGCATAAGAGCACTTTATATTAAATGTTTTGTAACTGTAACATAACTGTTACATTGTTATGATGTAAACATTTCTATTTTGCAAAATATTTTTGCACAAAGAAAATGCCCAAAATTTTGCTCGTCCTAACAATAAGTGTGCATGCAAATTAAACCAAAGGGGGAAAGTTTGGCCGGTTAACATGGTCTAGTTAGTCCCTGCTGGTAGATGCTGTAACTGCACAATTCTGCAGGCAAACATTTCAACATTTTTCATTTCATTTTTACATCAGCTTGCATGTTCATAAAAGGCTATTTTCTACTTTTTGCTTTAAAAGAGCTATAAAACTCAGAGTCTGTTGTTTTCTATTTCCTTTTGCCACTACTGTTATGAAAAACAACAAAAGTATGATTTTTAAATTATTTAATAACATTAAATGTAAGTACAGTATGAAACGCAGTAATTACAATATTCAACAATGAATTGCTGCAGACAAATCAAATATATAATACCGTTTAGCCGATATTATCGGCCGATATGAGCCTGTCGCCGATATATTGGTATCGGCGAATATGCCGCCGATATGAACTTTTTTTTTTTTACAGAACATATAACGCAGATTAAATGCTTCTGAATGGTGTAATTACTTCGTTTGTCCAGCAGAGCACGCTCCATTGTTTGCTACTGGCGACCCAGGTCAGTGTAGTATAGAGATGCGCGGATGAGCTCAAACTTCACTAGAGTCCACTGCTTCAAATTATCCACCCGCCACCCACTGCACCTATATTTGATCGTCACATTACAATGATTCTAATTCTTAGTTTTGCATGATGATATGATGAATGGATGGCTCATTTTTAACAGCAGATTCAGTGACGTTAGAGACTAGAGCTGATCTGCGCATCGCGGCACGCGTCTGCGGCACAGTTGAGCGGATATATCGCATTCTGCAGAAAAGGGAGACTGGCGTTTGTCGCGGTTTGGGAAAAAAGGGAGAAAACATGACAGAATAACTCGGCGGATATCGCATTTTGCGTAAAATTTAAAATTGACTTGTCAATACCGACCAGATACAATACCGATTGTGGCATGAAAAGATTTATGGCAAATCTCAGTCAAAATGTGAACTATAATACCATCCAGCTCTAATGTGCTAAATGCAACTATAAGACAAGAATATATTAAGAGATTTTAAATATTAACATCATGATTTTCTGTTAAACTGCTTTTCACAGTGTGTATTGTTAAAAACACTATACAAATAAATTTGATGATTTGAAAAAGCATTTTAGCCATTGAAGCCCATTCAAAATTATCTTTCTATATAAAGTATTCTGATTAAAAAATACATTGCACACAGCATAAACACTGCAAATACCTAGTAGATGTATTTAAACACCTGGTTCTCTTTGAGAGGCTCTCAAAAACATTAAATTGACTTGTATTGCATCTGCTGTCACAGACAATGGAAGCACAATAATTTTGAACAGCAATATTCACTGATGTTAAATTTAAGTTTTAAATGAACTATAATTCATTTTGACCTCGAGCAAATACTACATAGACTTAATTAGACTTTCTTAATTAAATGAGAAAATGAGAGCAAAAGGTAAAATATGAAAAACCCAGGTAATCCAAGAAATAATCAACATACACATAAGACACTGTCAGCACTGTAGATCAGGCAGAGGTCGTGACCCTGCACCTGCGATTGGGCTGCAGCACACCTGTGCGGTTTCATTAGGACCGCAGCTGAGAGATTCATCGCAAGAGCCGCTCACTCCAACACAAGACTCTGTGAAATACTCTATACATACAGGAAGCTGAAACCAGATACATCTTCTGTCCAGTGTCCACACAGTTCATCTACTAATCAACAATCAATGCTTGAACATGTCAAATCGACATGGATTGATGTGGATCAATGTGCATGTATTAGTCGTGAAATACGAGCTTCATAAGACCGGCCAGCTTTCTCTCACCACATTTTCTTGAAAATGTAAGAAATTATGGCATAGCTGGGTTGGAGTCAAAGAATGTTTTCAAAACTGTTTCTCTTTAAATGAACGGATGGAGGAATGATATTTAATAGTTTTCATTTATATGCACCGATACAATAATTCACAGCTATAAACAACATTTACAAACAGACACTTTTACTTAAAGGGGTCATATGATGCTGCTAAAAAGAACATTATTTTGTACAAGAAATGCCAAGCAGAGTGACTGATGATGCAAATTAATCGCTGAATCAGAGCTTTTGATTGAATTGATTGATTATAATGGGACAGTGTGAAGTGATTCACTGAAATTAATCACTTATCAACCCTAACTCTGTCCACTCTACTGAAGTTTAAATGAGTGCGGTGCTATTAAAACACTCTCATACTCATGAGCCACAAGACAACTAAATCCACAAGTCCACACCACTCCAGTCCATCAATTATCATCTTGTAAAGTGAAAAGTTGCGTGTTTGTAAGAAACAAATCCATCATTAAGACTTTTTTAACTTTAGACCATTGCCTTGAGTCCATAATCTATAATACAGTAACGCTTCCTCCAGTGAAAAAGTGGTCTGGTCTGAATCAGGAGAGAAATCTGCACCGATCAAGCACCATTTATAAGCCAAAACAGTTCTGAACAAATATGTGGGTGGATTTTGATTTGAAGGACAAAAGGGGATGGAATTTTTAGCTGGAGGAAGTGTTATTATGGATTATGGACTTGTATTTTAGCCTGGAAGCAATGGTTTAAAGCACCTTAATGATGGATTTATAAGACTTTTGTCTTGTCAAGATGTTAATTGATGGACTGGAGTGGTGTGGATTATCTACAACTTGAATGACCTGAGGGTGAGCACATTTTTACTTCTGTATCATGAAAAACCTGTGTGTGTACCTTGGCAGCCAGGCGTTTGAAGGCCTCCTCGCGGCACCGCTGCAGCTCAGGTGTGCTGGGACAGCTGCTGGATCGCAGGGTGTTGGTGGCGCTGGGCGGAGGGGTCGGCTGAGGCGGCTGACTCAGGGGCAGATCTGAACTCGGCTCCCCACCTGGACATGTGACCGATGAATATCCACATGAGCACAAATATCACCAGCTGCTGCGATTCTACTGAGACGAGTCAAACATCAATACACAAACATCTCAAACTGTCTAGGATAGGGCACAATCATGGACAGAGAACCTTTTAAACAATTTAAATTTATTTAGTTTAATTTTTAAATTAAAAAATTAAATTACATTTTTATTTTTTTATTTTAACATTTATTTAAAAGTGGGAATTTAAAATAAAAATATACTTGAATGATTTTTATGACTGTTTTGAATATACAAGCATCAAAGCCATTTTCTCCCAACTGCGCATACAAGTTTTGAACATGTAATTTAAAGGTGGGGTAAGCGATTTTCCAAAAACGCTTTAGAAAACTGATTCGGGCCGAATAGCAAAACAAACTTGTAGCCAGTCAGCAGTGAGGGGCGTGTCTACTCATGATGTGGAGGAGAGAGAGTTCAGTGCACAGGACGGATATTAGCAAGCCGAGCGACAGAAAGATGGAGATGGCGGATAAAAAAACAAAAGAGGAAAACGTCTGTGGAACAAA